AATTCAAACCACTGACTGGACTCCACCACTTTGACTTGCAGCGGAGAGAGCTCGTTCTTCCTCTGGTCCGCAAGCGGCCCCAAAGACGCACCGCCTGGCCCAATTGCCGCGCTCGCAGCCCCCGGGGCGGCGCCGGCGGCGGCGACGTCGAAACCTGGCGGAGCGGGCGGAGAGAGGCCGCCAGCCTGGAGGGGCTGCGCGACCTGCTGCTGCAACGACTGGTTGCACGACGCCCCCGATCGCCTTCGCAGGAATCTCACCCCGGCGACGGAACGCTTCTTTTTGTTGTACTTGCCACCTTTCTCCTCGACAAATCGGCGATGATCCTCATTGCGCTTGGTCGTGTATTTGCGCGCCCCGTCAAAACGTGTCTGGCGCCCGCCATCAGAGCCCGAATTGGAAGAGCCCCGACGACGGCGACGGCTATTGCCACGATCTTGATCTCGGCCTTTCGGTGGACCGCGAGGCTGCCGCTGCCCGCCGTAACCGCCCTGGTCGCCTCCCCGCGAATCCCACTGCTGGCGCTGTTTCCCCGAGCCGCCACCGCTCTTCTCCGCTCGAAATAGACCTCGGCACCGGCGGCGTAGAAACCGCGCTCTCAGACACTCTCGCACTCTCGAGCCGAATGGGCGGCAGCGGAATGCGGCAATGAATCAACCATCCCGCGGAGGACGCGCGGCGGGCACCCTGGTCTATGGACATGTTGAAAAACCCGGACTCGCAGCCAAACGCGACAACCCCAGACGCCAACATCTCGCCACTTTTCCCATTGGGATGCCTCGAAACGCCCCGGGCGACATCGGCGACGCACCTGGCAGGGGAAGCGCGCGAAACTTAGACCTACGTGCACGGGCAGGAAAAGTCCCCCCAACCTGAGGACAGCCACCCCCGATTGGGCTTCTCATGCGACTGTCGAGCTAAAACCTTATACCCCGAAGCAAAGATCCAACCGCTAGAAGAAGCATCCAGGATCGCCGTCTGACTTCAACGCCGCGCTGAGAGGCCCCTGGGAAACTTACTTCATGTATCTTGCGTACGCAAGGACAACGCTGGGTTGAACTTCCAGGCGTCACATCATCAACATACCTGCCCCAGTTGACGTTTGTTCGGCCCCCCCTGGAAAGCGAAAGCCATGCGCCCAGTGGCGATCGCAGAAATCTGTGGACCGAAACCGCAGCCGACGACGCGACTCCACAAATAACGCAACAATCCCATCCATTCCCACGTCAGCGCCCCAAAGCACAGCTCACATTGAACGGGGGGCAGCTGCAAGAGCTGCGTGAGCGCCCTGAGGAGAGAGACCACAATCCTCGCCCATGTCGCCTCGATCGACCTCCGCGTTCCGCTGGACACTTCACCTCCAGTCGGATGAGGGGTCCAGGGGATCCGAACTCCGACCGAAACGCTTGTTCCAAGAGGTCACATCCCGGCAAAATCGACGAAGACGCACGCGCGGAAACGGCCTGGCCCACATCTGTCGTGACAACGTGCAATCCTGGACGCGCGGCCGTTTTGCGCCTTTGGCGCAGCGAGGGTGCGCGGGCTCAGGGGAGAGGATGATTTGGCGTTTCCGCCAGTGGCGCCGAGGCGCCCCGACCCAATCCGCCGCCCCTGGGGCGAAGGGGGGCGTCGCCAGCCATCCGGGGCGCTCCTCGAACGGCCGGCCACTCATCCCTATATGTGCGCCGCGCTCGCCCGCGCAGGTCCGGGGGCGCGGCGCTGGCGCCTTTTTGCAGGCGGCGCGCGCCCCCGACTGCGACCGTTGAGATTGCCGCGACTTGTCGCGCGCAGTTGCCTCGCCTCCTGCCCCCCCCCCGCCCTCGCCCCCTGCCCCCCCGCCCCGCCCCCCCCTTCGCCTGGCTTGGCGCGCGCTCAATGTCCGTCATCAGCGCGGCGCTTACTCTCGACGAGCGGGCTGCGCCGGGGCGGGCCCAGCGAGCGCCCTGGACGCGCTGCGCCCCGACGTGGACATGCAGGCCCGCCCAGATAGGCCTCGGCACGCCCCCAACGCGCAACGCTCGCATCTGTAAATCGGCCCGAATCTGCCACTGGGCAGCTTGAACTATCGCTTGAAATCAACCTAGTCCAGTCTCGCCGGCCCCGATGGCCCACGCGTTGAACGCGTCGCGATCGTCGCCCGCGCGCGCGTGATCACTGCGTCGATGCTGCCGGAACAGGCGCTCATGATCTTCCCATGCCGGCGGCGGTGGAGGCGGCCGCTTGCGCCGGGCGCCCGTTCGCCGCCGGCGCCCGCAGGCGCGCCCGCGAACGCGCGCCGGCATGCGCGCGGTAGAAGCCCAATGAGGCCACGATGCGCGACGCTGGCGCAGCGTCGGCGCCCCCCCACCCCCGGCCACTTCGGATAGCGCCGCGGGCCATCGACAGCCCGCGGGCTCGGCGCAGCAGCCGCCCGAGCCAACTCCGTCGGCGACAACTGACATACCGGATGAGCAAGACCCCGGCGCTCGTTCGAAATTGATCGCGCCCGCCCAACGCTCGC